CATTGAGTAAATGCTTCATTTTTGGGGACTATTTTCAGCTGCGGACTATTACACATTTGGTGCTCTAATACAGTAACAGGATGGAGTTTGTAATAATAACTTAAAATAAACTACTGTGCCCATGTTCATAGTTGGGTCAGTCCATTTCTGGTTTAGGTCATTTTCATGGACTTTGTTGACGATAAGAAATTGTTGAAAGACTTATTTTTTAAAGCAGGATGTATCGACCTGTGGAAAAAACTACCATATAAAACCGGAACCTGATGACAAGTTGGATTTGATAGTAGTCACTGAGCCGAGGAGCCAATGTGAAGTGCTCTATAAACTTTAAGTATCATTTTGGAGTTGATGACGTGGTTTAGGTAAAAATTAGGTCAGAGCAAAAATCTGATTAAAAAAGGACAATCACAGCTTGTGATGTCATCTATCTAGGAATGGTTGACGTTGATGTTTGAATGATGTCTGACCAAAGCTAACACACACAGTATTAGCTGATGACTCTTATAAACAGAGGCACAGATACATTATGATCATTTTCCTCTATGAAGCATCTTTTCATGCCACTTTAAAGCTGTGGTACTATCACACTCCCTCACATTAGTAAAGTAAACAGCGTAGAAATGTATTTCCTCACCTTCATAAACCACTGACAGCTCAAAGAGTGAATCCATTTGTTTTAACACTCTCATCTCCCCCTGGCAAGCATCAAACAAAGGTTAATTATGCGATTACACAACATTTGGCTCCGTCATGAAACTGAATCAGCAGTAGATTTATTCTCATTCTCCATTAAAAACTCCATTAAAGGATTATTCTGAGACCTTCAAGATGAAAAATATCACAATTAAAAATGCTCCTTGTAGGGCTGCTGGCATTAAAAGCATGCCAGAGTGCCATTCATCAGCGGCTGTATGCAGACATGGCGTCTTAGAGCAGCCTAGTGAAATTACAGGGGGAAACACTGGCAGCAAAGTCCATAACAGTCACAAATAACAGCCTGCTATGACAAGGGAAATTACACGTCTTTGGAATTGAAATTGTAATAGCGTGATATAATTGTATCATTGTGAGGAATGTGCAGTACGTGTAATCGGATGCTTTCATGTTTTGATAAATGTGGTGGTAAGGCTTATCGTCAGTTTTTTGAGATCTTTGAGGTTTTCTTGATCAGATGAGCAGATAACTAATTTTCCACAAAGAGTATGTTGATTTATGACAGCTGGTGTGTTGATGGAGGATTATGTGAACATTCATTCATTGGGACAGCATTGAAAGATTAGATGATCATGGAATTTATAGTATGTTTTTTCCAGACAATGCACTGTATACGAGGTAATAATTCATAATAAATCTCATGTGACAGACTGTAGATAAAGGTAAGTAAAGTTTGGTTAATACCGTACATCTACAGCAGGATTACACTATAACCAGCCAGTTATCACATCCAGACACCAATAAGCTTGTGTCATTATGCAGCAGTGGTCTGGATGTGTTTATATGGCTCAGTGGCTGCACTATATGAGTGGATCAGTATAAGCAGTTCCCACACCCTCTCAGGTGTCCTGTGCTCAGGGCAGCCTGGCCCAGGCACACAGATAAAGGCTGCCTTTGTTTGCAGCAGGGAACAGGTAACCATTTGTGCCTGTACTACTGTGTGTTTGTGTGTGTGTGTGTGTGTGTGTACTCGTGCTTGTTTATGTGCATGTGCATGCATACATGCATGCAAACGCATATGTGTGTGAGTGTAAGAGAGAAACAAACAGAGATAGGATTGACTGGGCTGTCTACCATTGCCAGAAGAACAGGTGTGGCTTTTCATCAGCCTCATATTCGCAGCATACAGCACATGTGCACTCAATATAAGGGAAGGTAAACTATGATTTCCAGTCTGTGACTCTCCAGGCAAACAAACACCACCATAAACAAAGTGAGACTTTTGGGAAAAGCATTAATTCATGATTTTATCCTCTTAGGAGACACTCCTGTGCTCAAACTTAATTACAGGTGTACTTTTTAATGTGATTCTACTTACTATAATGTAACATATATGTACCCCATAAAGATAAAGTGTGTCACTATGGTAATTAAACTCTACATTACAAATAAAAATATATTATTGAAAGGAATCATTTCTATGATTCATCTGGCACAAAGAGCCGTGTGCATGGTGTGTGAGGTTATAAAAAAATAGATAAAAGAGAACAAAAAGTTAACAATTAACATTCACGCAATGTGACCTTCTCTGTGCCCCAATTACACACTATACACTACACTAATTCTGTGTTTTGAGAGTATGTAGCAAGGGAAATGACAGACTGAAGTGTGCTTCAAAATGGCAGCATGCAGAGTAAAATCACTTGATTTTTTAGTGTAGTTTAGTTTAATATTGTCCTCCAATGCCACACAAAGAAAATGGGGAGCTGCTCACAGAGGGGAGAAAAAGCTTTTTTGTTTTGTGAGCTTAGAAGCTTACAGTAAATAACTCAATTCTTCAGTAAAACACAAGGTTTAATACATATCACCTAGATACAAGCTGTTTTAGCTGCTTCTAAAACATTAGTTTACAGTTTTTTTATTGCCTGAAAGATATTATTTTGTTTTCCTAGTTATTACGTATCAATTAAAAATAGCCCTTCATATATAAACAATGTATTTTGTTTGACGCCAAAAAAGGGCAAAGCTCAAAGGTGCCTGCAAATGCGTACAAACGGTTGATAAGAAGAGAGCAGGTTTCAGGCTTTCATTTGATGTTTGGCTGAAAACATTGAAAATGATATAAAATGACGCTATAGAAATGTATAGAAACGTATGATGTTAGTAATGGAAATATTTTATATAATATTGCGCTTTCTTGTAGTATTGAACGTTCCTCCTGTGAGATGACAATACCAGCAGTGGCCCAAAGCCATTTGACTTTGGAGCAGCCTGGTCTGCCATTAACGTCTTTTGGTTACGAGGCGGTGCTCCGTTTTTACAGCAGTTATTGAATGAGAAGAGCAAAATGATGTGGGCCTGTAACTGTGGAGAAATCAAAAACAATGAAACCAGTTGCATACATATGACACTGTGTGTGTGTCGTACATTAGCATCTGTTACCTGGTGTTCAAGTCAGAAGTTGAGGATTACCTGTTCAGGAAGCTAAAGGGTGAGAAGAGACGAAGTTCTGCAACTGTGTTTAAACAGCCTGTCAGGAGAGCTAACTTTATGACCTGCTGCTGGGTTTCAGCCGCTGCTCACTCTAAATATTCAATCAGAAAAGGTGCCTGCTGGCTAACTAACGTGGGTTGACAGGGTGTACACCAGAGTGGTGGATGACTATAGATCTCAGGTGAAAGGTGAGAGTGCTGAGGATGTGCTCTCTCTTCTGTCTGTCATGTCTGTTGTGTATCCGCTGTCTGGGAGCTCGGTGTGTGTGTGTGTTGTTGTGTGTGTGTGTGTTTGTAGTTGTGTGTGTGTGTGTGTGTGTGTGTGTGTGTATGTGTGTCTAGAGATGTTAAGTACAGGGGCTGCATGCTGCATGTAGAGAGGTCTTTAATTAGAGCAGGAAGACACAGCTCAGGAGACACACTGCACCAGACTCAAGTGTTTGCGTGTGTGTGTGTGTCCATGCAGGTACGTGTGTGTGACTGAGAAACATCCTGCATGCTTCAGTAGTTTCAGGGTCCGTCTTGCTAATTCCAGAAGTGTCTCCTGAGTGTGTGTGTGTGTGTGTGTGTGTGTGGTATACATCTTAAATGGGTGCATGAATCCCAAAAATGTCATTTCTACTTTCTATTAAACCCTATCAACTAAACATCCACAGACTGTCTGAATAAAATGTACACAGCACTGCTTACTGTCATTAGAGTAACACTCGGCCAAGTCGGTGGAATCCTCTGGTGACACTAAGCCAGGTTTCTAACGTGAGTTGTGTCCAGTCAACCATATTTGGTTGCTGGATAAGTGATTTGTAGACTAACATACTGGTTTATTTTTTTTAAATAGGATTTTTTTAAAGAAACATTCCAGTTTCTCCCCTTTGTTTTATGCAGAAATCTACACAATTTTAGACAGTTCAGTCCCAATTCATTTTGTCTACATCAACAGCTTAAAAAGTGACCATAGTAAGATAGTAAGATTTTAATCTGTGTCATAATATTTATTTGTGGAAGGCTATTACTTACAAATAATACTTATTTCTTTATTGCAGATGTAACAGACCAGAAATTGTACTTATATCATTTATATGTGCCTTTTTTTTACAGATCCACACTCCCTCGAGTAAACTTACAATTGACATTAAAAACAAGTCCTCCACCACCAACCTGCATAATGTCGATCCATTTTGACTAATGTCTGTTTAATGGATTTTCTGGTTGAGTCAGAAACGTTTATTCCATTTAGATACATGTACAAAATACATGCTGCTTTGGCATTCTGATGTCTTTGAAGCCTGGAGTGCACCATTAGAATAATTATGATGTTTTTCAGTGTTTGATTAGCGGCTGTACAATTTTTAGACAAAACTAAAAAAGTAGTTATTAAGGTTATATGTTAAGATTGGGGTACATTATCTTAAATTCTTTATGTTTTACCTTGTTGTACAAATACAATTATTTGTGTCATTTTGAGACATAAGGGGGTGAGTATTGCATTCTTTTTCTCAAAAGGAGGGTCTTGGAAGAATCTGAATTACACTGTGGAGGGTCTTGTCTTTTTAAAAAGTGAAATATCAGATTCAACCCCCCTCCCCACGCTAATAATTTCCGTACAGTCCCTTAAAATAAGTTATAAATAAGTGATAAATTGACGTATTTTAATAAAATTATATCCAAATTGATTCCCTCAATGTTCATTTAAATGAGGCATTAATAAAGTTAAAATAAATTATAGGAATGTATCATGTGGACTTGTGTGTGTGAATTCAGAAATGTGTAAGCATTATTTTTAGTGTTTCTACTGCAGGATTAGTGTTTTTTAGTAAAACATACTAAATAGTTATTTTCCCTCTTCTCTTGCAGCTCCCATGTGTTCGTTCAGCCATGCTCCCTGGGTATGGATTCTCACCTTTCCCTGATTTCCAGCCCCACCTTTACGCTTTTCGCTGCCGAGGAGAGAGTCCTAGCATGTGGATTCCTGGCTCAGGAGAGTCCCAGGCCCTAAACGAGGCCCAGGAGGACAGGCCTCTCCTCCACCCGTGCCACCACAAGCATATCGCTGTGTGCCAGCAGGAAACACTGGCTTTTATTGAGCTACAACCGCCAGTGGCTCCCAAACTAAACGGTCTTGGCTCTCCGAGGCCAACTGTTATTCCAAACACACAATGCACAACACACTCCCTGACCCTGAATGGTTTCAGACACACACTAAATGAACTGAATGACATGCAGAACGGCTGCCACAGGACAGACAATGAGCATGAAACAACGCTGAGTTTAAACTCTGATACACCTGCAAGTGACGGTGAGCTTGAATGCCATAACAGCATCAGGACTTCTTTGCAGGAGCAGACTGAAAAACCTCACGCTGTCACAACAGTATGTCGTCCTCTCCACGCAGCTCTTAGCCTCCCTCTGTCGCTCCCTCTGTCCTCTCTATACACAAACAGAGACTCCTGGGAATCTCAGTTACCTTGCTCTCCATCCTCACCTGAAGTTCCTGGGTTTCAGAGCCCAGATTCCTGCCAGCCACAGAGGAGGACATCCCAGGGTTCACTAAAAGAAAAGTCTATCCGTAAGTGTGCAGCTTTCTTCACTGTGGGCAGAGTTGACATAACAAATTAGTTTAGAAACTTTAAACGGTCTTCTTCTTAACCTAATAAAAGCTATTTTTTGCTTTCAGGACGGAAGATGCAGATTTATTCCCCAGAAAGCCCGAGCGATGAATCTCTCAGCAGTCCAATCCTGGATGCAGACTACATCTTCCCAGGACCTTTTGCATCTTTCCTGGAGGAGGACCTTAGTGGATTATCTTCCCTGGAGGCCATTTCAAGTCCTTCATCCACAGACGGTGTTACTGATCTCCCAAACTTCAGTCATGATGACATTTTTAATCTACCTGCAGAACCACTGCAGATAATAGAGGACTCAATACCAGGGGTGGGGGAAGACAGTGTAAGTGTAGAGACATCCAGTGCCACGGGGGGGAGCTTCTTGTCACGCAGCCGCCAAGGGGACCAAGAGCGGCGGCGCTTCTCTGCCTCAGAACTGATCTCTAGACTGCAGCTGTCTCAAAGGAAGAACTCCTTCACCTTGAAGCTGGGGAAGTCGCTGTCTGCACGGGTAGCCTCTCGGGACCGGCAGAGCTCCAACAGCCTCAGCGCCAATCCTGAGTGTGAGTAGACTACAGAACCAACATTTCAATTTAAAGGTTGTCCACAACCCTAACCTGTGGATTAGAAAGCCAAAGGAGTATAAAACACATTACAAAATAATAGCACAAACAGTAATAGAAAAACAGAAGTCTTCTCCTTGAACAAAAATAGCTATACAGATTGGTGACAAATTAAAGAAAAAAACAACAACAACTCAAGTGCTTCTTGTCATGGATTCTTCAGATAGAGATCAACACCATTCATCCAAAAGATACTCCCTCGCCCCAATAGCCCAACGGCCAGGTATTTACCAACTACTGCAACGTCCACGGTTCCAACTGGAGACCTTTGTTACGTGTCATACCCCTCTCTCTCCCCATGTTTCCTGTCTGTCTACATTGTCAGCTCTCAATATAAAAGGCAAAATGACAAAAAAGGATTAGTTAATGATGGTGCTGACTGCTGTCTAACACCTTCGCTCATTTATTCAGGTTTTACCTTTAATGTCCCCCGTGTTTTAGTCAGTAGAGATGTCAAACCCCAGCTGAAAAACTAACCATTAACGTGCCCTGCCCTCCAGAGGGGAAAGAAATTCTCAGATTCTAATATATGAGAACATAATAGAGCTGCAACAAATGATTAGTTAATAGTTGATTATTTTTGGTCTTTATGACAGTAAACTAAATGTATTTGGGTTGTGTACAAAATGAGACATTTGAGGACATCATCTTGGGCTTTGGAAAACAATGACGTTTTATGGACCAAATAAGTAATCAATTAATCCAGAAATTCAGATTCAGATTCTTTGTGTGCAGTCTGATAATGGTTAAAATGTCTGAAAACCTACTGGAGAAAAGACAAGATTTGTTACCCCCAAAGCCTTAGTAACAGGGACATTTGTGTGGGGTTCAAACACCCATATCACACCATGTCTCTTGCTCCTTACCTGGACATCACACCTGCTGTTTGTCCTCTTTAGATAAGTCCAACTCAAAGCACCGCAGCTCAGGAGGTTCTAGTGACAGTGCCCCCCACAGCCCTGTAGGACCTGCACCTTCTCTGCTGTCCAGCAGTGACAATGGCCTGCCTTTGCATCGGTGGAGCACAAAACTCGGGTAAATACAGATTTGAAATATTTCAAAACAAAAACTGCAAAGAGTAAAGGACATGTGTTGATGTCAGTTCACATTTTCTTCACAGAATGCGAAAGAAATCCATAGAGGAGGACTTGGGCATACTTCCAACTGTTGCAAGTTCAAATCGTTTATCACGGTTTTTGCCTAGCTGTAAGTTTCCCCGAATATTTGTTTAATTAATTAAACTGAGACTTGGTTGCATTTTCTTGTCACATCCTTTTTTCACTTTCCAATATACCCTGCAGTGATTTTGTACCAGGAATACAGTGACGTCGCCATCAACAGAGAGATCCAGAGACAGCAAGGGAAGGAGCCAGGCACAGAGGAAGAGGGGCTCAGGGATGAGGGGTCAGACGGGACCCCATCTCCTTCCAATCTCTCTCCATCGAGCTCCTTCCGCTCATCACGAGGCTCTGCTTTTGCACTGTGGCAGGACATACCTGATGTTCGATGCAGCGGGCAGCTCGACAACTTCAGCAACGAGGAAAGGAAATTACAGGAGGTGAATGAGACACTAAAGATTTTGCCACAGCGGTTTGCTACTTATTGTACTGTAGATATCTGGCTGACACACAGTTTCTTCCTCGACTTAGGCAAAGTTTGAGCTGGTGACATCTGAGGCATCATACATTCGTAGTTTGACAATCGCAGTGGACCACTTCATGTTGTCGCAGGAGCTTGCTGAGTGTCTGGGAGCTCAGGATAAGCAGTGGCTCTTCTCCAAGCTGCCCGAAGTCAAAGATGTCAGTGAGAGGTGAAGTGATATGCTGCCGATATGACTCTGTTACTCTCCGTTCTTTACTTTTATTTTAACATCTCAGTCATCACGCCTCCTCCTCTGAGTGCATTTTCTGCTCGCTTGACGTTTTTAGGTTTCTTCAGGACCTGGAGCACAGGCTGGAGGAAGACATTCTGCGTTTTGATGTGTGCGACATTGTCCTGGAACATTGCCCGGCTCTGCGAAGGGTTTATTTACCTTATGTAACCAACCAGGCTTACCAGGAGCAGACATACCAGCGTTTGCTGTGAGTAACTACTTTCACTGTGTGTATAATAAATCATCTGTTAGAGCTCTGAACATTTATATGTATATACAGTATGTAGGTAGGCCTACTATGTCTCTGTGCACACTCGTGGCTGTAGCACATCAAGTCTAATTGTTTCATGCTGGATGTCCATAATTTCCTCTCAGGGTGTTCAGGTGTTATTTTACACCTGCATGACTTAACTTGCAGATGTTTCATGTAGAGAAAGCTGAACATTTTTCTCAGGGTAAAAAGCATGCTGGAATTTACAGCAACTTTCACAAAAAGTCATTAAAATGCTTCTTTAAATGTCCTCGTCTTGTCCTCTCAGGCACGAGAACCCTCGTTTCCCCGGCATCCTGGCTCGTTTGGAGGAGGACCCCGTCTGCCAAAGACTTCCTCTGACCTCTTTTCTAATCCTCCCGTTTCAGAGGATCACGCGGCTTAAAATGCTAGTGGAGGTACACGATTGAACATTCACTGCAGAATTCATGTTCGCACTTGAAACCCAATTACATGGATCCGTAAATGGGGTAATATTTGGTCCGGCTAAGCAATTTGCTGCAGCAGTGTTTTTTTTCCCCCAGGAGTGCATAACAAGAGTATTGTTTACTCTTTGGCATGTCTTCAAAAACGTCTTTATTTTTCAGAATATCTTAAAGAGGACGACTCCAGGCTCCCGAGATGAGGACACTGCCACGAAAGCTTTCAATGAGCTGAAAAAGGTGGTGATTATCATCCCTAATAGCCAGTTGGATGAGTACCAGTATTATCACTGGCAAGGCACAACAGTAATAACCGTGTTGGTGTGTGTCTTCTTAGATCATCAAAGAATGTAACTCCAGTGTGCAGTCAATGAAGAGGATGGAGGAACTGATTCACCTCAATAAGAAAATCCATTTTGAGGGAAAGGTGACTGAAATGTTCCTATTATCTTTAGCAGTGTTGGCACTGGTGTTTATCTTCTCTTCATTGTATTTTCTTATGCAGCGGCGTATTTCCTGTCTTTGTAGATCTTTCCTCTGATCTCTCAGTCCCGCTGGCTGGTGAAACACGGCGAGCTCCTGGAAGTGGACACTCAGACGATGAGTATTTCTGGATCAAAGCTCAAGTTACCCACCAAGCCTGTGTACCTCCACCTGTTCAACGACTGTCTCCTGCTGTCCAGGAGGAAGGAGTGAGTGACCTGCAGCAAAAGAGACTAATAAAATGCTGTACATGGAGTCTATTACTACCATTATTCATTTATTTTGTCTGGGAAGTGGAATCCAAAAATATTCCATGTATTCCAAATGTTCTGGGTCTAGAAATAGAGACACCAGGAAGTACAGTATCCCTCTACCACAGCTCAGCAAGTTAACATTATATAGGGCAGTGGTTTTCAAGGGATGCCCACCTTCAGAAGCCAAAAAAGGTTCATACCCCACCACCTCACAATTATTAGCAATGATAGGGAACCAGATTTAATAAACAGCATCCAAGTTGAATTTTAGTGAGATAGACTTCAGCACAATAGCATCAGCAAACTGTTTGTTTATTTCCCTACATAGATCATATTCATTCCACTTTTCGATGAATACTTTTTTGAAAGATGACTAGTACCACATTCAAATTATACACATAGTGGCTTTAAAGATTCAATAGCTTGTTACTAATGTGAAACAAATTAGACATGCACTGTCTGCTGGTGATCTAGATAATAAAATAACGTCTTTTTGCAGCACGTGGAAGTTCATGGTGTTTGTGCACGCCAAGATAGGAGAGCTGAAAGTGAAGGATCTCAGTCAGAAGCTGCAGGGCATCTCAGGCTTCATCTTCCATCTGCAGCTGTGTGAAGGCCAGCAGCTTAAACACCAGATCCTGCTCAAATCACACACTGAGTGAGTAACAACACTCAGTCAATGCACTGACGACAATAAGTTTGCTTCAGTCCAAATGGGTGCTTCTGCAGAGGGTGATCTAACTGCCCTTTTTTGTGCCCACCAAGGAGCGGGAAGCAGAGATGGATCACAGCAATGTTTCCATCTGATCCGCTCGAAGACATCGAGCAAGCCAGCGAGAATGATGGTCAGTTGAGCGTTTTAGGCACACTGTGAATTAGTGTAAACCTTTTAATCCTCTCATTCATCTTTTTGTCTTTTCTCCTAGATATATCCCAGGTTCAGTGCATCAAAAGCTATCAGGCCCAGGAGCATGATGAGTTAACACTGGAAAAGGCTGACATTCTTCATGCTAAGACCATTACAAGTGATGGTAAGAATTTGGATAAAGTCCTCTTTCAGATAAACTGCATTCCTACATTCCCAACTTGTGGCCATAAAAAGTGGTGTGTCTCACTGGCTTTCCGAGGTTTAAACAAGCAGAAGATGATGGTTGAGTGCTTTGTTTGATGTCTAAGGGATGTTATCTCTTACCAGGCTGGGTGGAAGGCATCAGACTGTCTGACGGGGAACGGGGCTGGTTCCCCAAAACCTACGTGGAGGAAATCACAAGTCGCAGTGCGCGCCTCCGCAACCTTCGAGAAAATATTCGCATCAAATGTGTCACACAGAAACTGGAGGGGGAAGACTAACCATTTCTACTGCAACTTCTCGTGTGTCAAAGCTGCATCTCAGTTTCAAATTTGCATTTTTAAGCTTCCGGATCTAGTTCTGATTTTAATTGTAAACCTACATATGTATGCAGTATGCAGTATGCAAGTGCTAAAACAAGCCAACGTGTTCTTCACATGGATGCCAAACTGTGTATCAGCATTTTCCTTAAGCATGCTAGCTGGGAATACAGTTTTGATATGAGAGTGCAAAGCTATTAATGCTCTTTTACAGCTTTAGTTTAAAAGGCTTTTATACAATAAGAGTTAAAAGTTCAGATTTTTAACTCTGAAGTTTCTAGACTTTGTAGAAGCAGTAACTTTATGTATGGTTTCTGTAAATGCATTTTATTACCATTTCAAAGTCTGAGAACATTTTCTGGCATCTCTGTGGTAAGTGTGGTATATATACATGTGCATTTTCCAGCACAAGTAGTAAATGTGAACATATCCAAAGGTAAATGTGTACATTTCTAGGTTCGTGTCAGAGGAGAACAGTAGAATGAGGCTAACTCACTTTAAAGTGGTGTTTCATGTGGCCAGAGTCTGGTGCAGTCAGCTGAACTCTGTGAGATGCAGGAGGATTCATTTTATCACACCAGAAAATCGCTGGAGGCAAATCCTGCTGCTGAGCTGCACTGGGACACATCAGAGGCCTTTTATCTTTGTCTTTGTTCACACTGAGTGCTGCTTCATTTTCAGGGGCCAAATGAGAAGCTTTTCTGTTGTGCTGTCCACGTATTGAACAAAAAAGAACACTAGTTAAGAGAGGAAATTAAAGCCTGATGTGTTTTTTATTTTAGTCCATCCAATATTTGATACACTACAGTGCATCGGTGTGCAACAGTTCATTTCCATCCATGTGTTAAAAGATGTGGATTGTTGAAACATCTTTGTCGCGACACCCTCCCTGTATGTGCTGTGGTCTGTAGTAAGAATTTGGACTGCGTGAACTCTGATGGTTTGCCAGTCAAGGCAACTGCAAATGATGATTTTCACGATTCTACTGTAACATAAATGAAGGACAGACTTTCCTCTTTACAAGGCACCATTACACAAATACTTTCTGATAAAAGGACACATTCTTTATTTTTATTTTTGTCAACAAAGTCCGTGAAAATACCAAAACCAACAATGAATTGATTCTACTGACAAGAACTGAGAACTGTGTGTGAGCTCCGTTATTTTCCAAAAAGTATTAAAAACACATTAGTTCAGTGAGCCACACTAACATGTTCCTTCATTACCCTGAACACACTGTAGTCTCACCGTCCTGCTGACGTAAATACTGACTAGAGCACCAAATGTGTATTAATCCATCACTGAAATTAGTCCCCAACAAATGCACTATTCACTCTTGTTTGAGTAACATTAGCTAAAAACTACAGTGCCCAGCTGTTTTAGGGAATGATTTAGCTTTTTTTTACAAATTGGACTATATATTTGTGACTAATTTTTAAAGATTCATGTCTTCAGGAGGAATTGGTAAGCCTAACCAATTTGTTTTTGTTGTCCAAACCTAACCAAACTGCGATTTCTTTTGAAAAGTGTGACCAGACGTTTCATATTTTTTATTGCCAGCGGAATGAGCATGTGTTGAAAACGTGACACTGCCAAATTACCAATGTGTGTATTGTACACTTTAGCATGATACTGGGTTGACGAGTTGAGCTTGTCACTGAGTGTCACAGACAGGTTGGCTGTTGTTGGTTATGGTCTTTTCATGACATTTGTTGACAGGAATTAAACCACCGGTGTCCTTTAAAAAAACAGGAAATGGACACCAACCTAATTCACCTTGGGATGATTTTACATTGACCAGCTGTGTGGCAAATGTGCAAGTGTAGCTTACATGTAGTCATTTTAAAACTTTGAAAAGCCCCAGTTGAATAAACGCTAGACATTATTGATGTACACTAATCATAAAGGATTTAAGTAATACAGTCAGACACTAAGCACTGAATGACATTTAGGCCTCCATCTTCCACATTGTTCCCCTAATTAAGTGTAAAATTCCCAAATGACCAAAAGCGCAGTGTAACTGAGCTGAGACCTGTTGTTAATGAACCACTATAATCAACGTTCAAACTCTTCCAGTGGCACATGAAATGTTGATAACCCTTTTTTTTTCTATATCTGCGTTGTTAGTTGTAATTTAAGTGGTTGCTGTTGCAGCATGTGTATTTATACTCCTCTAGCTGGTTGTTCTCTAAGGAGATTCTGATGTAAATTTACTTTACTGTAGATGGCTTCATGTATAAAGAGTAGAAAATGGTTCTGTAATTTATATGAACAAAGATTCAACAAATATTATTACATTCCACAACTATAAACCTTTCAGTTTGATTCATTTCTAATACCACAATAAATATAAATACTGCAATACACTGGATGTTTACTGGATCTCTGCTAACTACTGTAAATGTTTAACTGTTGAAATAAATACAGGTACTTCCAGTTTATGTTGTGTTGAATAAATGCCTCTTCAGAGTTTTCAAACAGTTTATTGTGAAAAAGTCAAACATTGTGTACTTTATGGTTAAGATATCGAAGCTAAATATGTTCAGTTCCTCCAGTTTCTATTTCTTAGTAACATTTAGAGCTCCACAGTATCTACATCTAACATTTCTTCAGCTGTGGTCTGGCTTTAAACTGGGTCATGACCTTGTTTCTGTTTGTCCCCATATCAAAGAGAACTAAAAGTATCTTTTCAGTCCCTCAGGGTGGCAAAATCACCTAGATATATCAAAACTAGGGTGAGAACACTTCACTGCTGTATCTCCATTTTGTGACACAACTGGACATAAAAGTAATATGTACATACTATCTACATGTTATTCTCGATTTATAATTACAGCAATTTTCGTAACTTTTTCTGTTGAGTCAGCTGTGTCCATTGATGTGACATTGGTTGGCTTTTATCATCGGCTCCTGGGACTCCTTCCTGCTTCTCTGCAGCTTTGGCATGATTGGAGGTGGAGCGTGACTCACAGTAACGTGGCTGTTTCTGTCTGGCTGCAGATGAAACAGACAAACTTGTTGATGCAAGGTTGCCTCACATTTAAGGTATAATTCATCACCTTGGCACAAGAAGAAAAGGTAATGTTCCTTTTCTTCTTTCTGTAAAAAATATGCATGTTAGAACTGTTTGCCTCATGTCCAAATGACCATAACATGTTGTATCTGCCATACAATCCCAACAAATCTTAAAATAATCTGTACATTCAGCTGCATTTCCAACAAAACTGTAAAAAAAAATATACCAAGCACTTTTGATCTCAAACAAGTTAGTACAAGTTTAGTACAAGATTTTCATACCAAACTAAAACCAACCCAGGAGATAGGAAGGTTGCATTCAATGTAGTGAATGGGCTAAAACAGTGGTTGTTGTTAGCCTGGGGGCCTTACTCTTAAATCTTAAACTTGCATTAACTCTTTTTTTTGGCCACCTGGCGGCAGCAAAACGGGTCCACATGTGGACCAATGTTGGCATTTATTTGGAGTGATGAATGTAAGCCCAATGCTCACTGTCCTTTAGCTCTGTTTTGGTCTACACAAGTGGTTCTGAACCTTTTTAGTGTCAAGGACTCCCAAACTGATAAACATCAGGACATGGACCCGTAGGCTAATTGACAATATATAGTCTCAGGGATCCCCATCCTAACTGTCTCTATTGTGGAAGTTTAAAGTGTGTGAATAATATATTCTATCATTGGGCTAACAGTGAAAATGAAATTATTTCCTATTTTTCTGGGAATCACCTGTTTGAGAAGCACTGTCTGTCATTTGGTACTGGGCAAGTAGTGTTACAGTGGGTTTTTTAGAACCTTTTTGCTAAAAACAGCTGCCTCCTGCGATAAGATTGAATCAAATAGTTGCGGCCCAGAAAACCATAAGGATTCGCTGACAGATGCTGAAACACTATAAAGTGAAGTGAAACTGCAGTGCCGGGTTAAAATTCTCTGTGAAGTTCCAATATGAGCAACCCCTTTCACATTACACATTGTCATTGATGCACTGTTAATATAAAAGATATCAATCAAATAGGCTTTATATTTGATTTTTTCCTGTAAAAAAGATAATTCCATTAAAAACTAGTCAAATTAAATAATCTAAGGCGAAATTCACAAAACCTTGACCTTCCAGCACTTCATCCAAATGGCTGATACAGTAGATGTCACTAAAGTGTATTTTTTTAACTTAGCAATAGATGAAATGATGTATGCGCATAAGAACTGACCAACTCTGCATCTTGGCTCTACTTAGTTTTTTAGACACTTTCAGCTCATTGTTTTACAGCCCAGACATTATGCTTAACCATTATATATTCCTTTAAAGATGTCAGACAGCACAGTCTAACCTGTTGTAGTTGAAAGATCCAGTTCCAATAATCCTCCTGACAGCTACAAGAGACTAGCAGGGGCTCCACCAGCTCACCTAAAAGGCAACAGTGATCATATGAAATTACTGTATTCCTCAATGCATTTAGTTTTACTATAATCCAATGCTACATTTATGTCACATCTTTATACCCATCAGCTCAAACTCCAGCCGTCCGGGCAGGGCTGACCTCTCCACCGCTTTGATGCTTTGTCGGGGCAACCTGCCCTGTTAGAGATGATGACACGGAAGAAAAAGAAAGCATGTAAGTTGTGCAGCAATTTTCTCTTTCATAACAATTAAACCATGGCTGTGCGAGAAGAGCCTAATTTTAGCGACTGCACTGAGTTATGTTGTAGGCGGCAGGTGTGAATTACGAAATGTTCCACCTATGCAATATGTCATGTGTCAAAAGAACAAGCACTGGTTAACGGTTCATGGGACACATACTGTAGTTTTCCCACACTGGTAGAGGAAGTATTATTATGGTTTTTCCCCCACAAAGTAATTTTACACTACCTCATATCTTATATTCAGACGCTTGTTGTCAACTGACAGTAGCAGGATGTCTTGAGGGAAGAGAACCATCAGTCTTTCTTGGAGTCCCTGCAAGAACAAAGCCAACAATGTCACTGCTGTATTAGCTGTCAGATACCGATAATACCACAAATACTGTCAAAATACTGTAACACTGTGAAATAATATTCTTCATACACTATTATTCACATGTGCCACAAGTAGCTTTTTAAAGGACAATTGCAGTTTATTACAACTACTCCTTTTTTTTTGTAATTTGGTCCCACTATTATACTACTATAATAATAATAATAAAGTCATTGTTCTCTCCTAGTTGATTTCTGAGATATGCTAATGTGGCTACAGTATGTTGCTATAAAAGTTAGAGGGAGCAAGAAACACACAGGTCATACAATCAGGTTGTTTACAGGTTGTAAAAAGAGACTTTAAACAAAAAATAATTATTTTTAAGAACAGAAATGGATTTACTGTGCAATGAGGGATTATTGCAACATGTTGTTGTCATCCATCTAACTGTCTGATTCTTATCTTTGTTGTTATGTCATATGTTCCTAGATATCAGCACTAAACTTGTGCCTATGATAACTGATACAAGATAGCCAAATGACTCAAATATAAGTAAAGTAGTAAAGTAAATAGTAAATCATTTCCATGTTGATTTGAGACGCTACAGTTGCTATTAAACAAAGGAGACCTTCACTAAGAAGCAATAGCAGCTACAGTGCATGCCATATTATGTGCCATGAATTATTATTTGACAGCATGAATCACTAATTCTTTAATTCTTTTGTCCCCATGACACCATAATACTCCATCATTGCCTCATATAATTTATTTTGTGAACTTTTTGGTGACATCATCCCATGATCTGGACATATGAGTAGTCCAGCTGTCTCACCAATCTTGTGATATAGCCTGGCAAAGACTGATATACTTTAATTCAAAATATCTTCTACTAAAGAACTGATAATATAATAGAGACAACTTGCAGATTGTTAATGCAGTGTGAGTAAGTAATTATTACCTGTCTCTGTGTGTTGATGATATGGACCATAGATATGCATCCCGGCAGACCCATGTGCTGTATCGGTGAGCCCTCCCACTGCCATATCGGAGCTTGCAGTAAGTACTTTTTCAGTTCTTCTCTTTTCCAGTGCTCATCACAGGGAAACTATGGATGAAATACTGCATGTGATCAATATATTCATTACAACTTAACCAGAGTGCTTTTTTATGTGCAGTTGTAGCCAGAAGTATAGCAGTTAGTCATTACTAGATAGGAGAGAGCGCAATGGGAGGGACTCATGGGTTGTGCCATTGACTTGTATCTCCTGTCTTCTATGTGTTGAATCCATTTCTGTAACTCTGCAGCGCTGGCACATATGAAGACCTTGGAGTCCATCACTGGATCTAGATGACAGAGGGAACAACATAAATCATGCTCAGTGCTTACTATGTGTTCCAAGTCTAAGCTGAACTAATTTCCCCTGACTCACTGCTGATCTCAAACATGTGTGGTGAATGGGACGTGTCAGGGTCCAGGGAGACAGCTTGCAAGGAAAGTCCAGAAAGGGGAAGGATGCCCTGTGAGATAAGAGAAGACATTTAAGAAAAATGTCATGTCTGTCATTGTGCTTCCTCCAAAAGTATTGTAGGGCAGTATTAGTTCTTCTTACGTCAAACTAGAATGTGGAGTTTAAAGGTGTGGGTGTGTGCTGGGTAGGAGGAAATATGCTATCAAGTTGCATTATGGGAAGTGTAAGAACCAGCATTTCTTAAGCTTGACCCATGCCAGGAACTCAAAGTCAGAATATTTCAGCCTCTGCAGCACACCATTCTGTTGTAGTCGATTTATCAGGGTGCAATAGACCTTTTTCACAGCAGCCATTTTGAAATGAAATAGTAGGGTATACACAGGTGTTACAAATTACACTGATTAAGGCTTCATTCCATTTCGTGCAGCAGAGCCGACATGCATAACAGCAGCACCCTGACTCTGTCCCCCTCCACTCAAAAATGTGTTTTTCTTCCTGTTCCTACAGTTGGATGTTTGAGCTTCACCGTGCAGAATGATGTATGTGCGTTGACACTGGAAGGATGTTTTCACATTCATCTGCTGAAAGTGGAAAGAGGAAAGTCTGTGCTCATTTTTACAGGGATGTGTCAGTCCTGGTCCAGTATGCAATTTATACAAGTGGGATGTAGAAACTTGAAGCCGCCAGTGCACAAACATTGAAAACGGACTTTACAGTGAAGTTAGGAGACATCTTGTGTCCAGCAGGATATCTTAACAAATGAACGGAATTTGCATATTCATAGATTCTGCCATATTCATTAATTTTTTAATGAGGATTTTAATGTCAAAACATATTGTTCCACATTATTGTTCCAAGCAGATTATTTGTATATGTCTTAATACATGTTTGTCAAAATGGCTGCTGTGAAAAAGGTCTGTACTAAATCACTAGTGTAGGTTGTTCTGTAAACTTTTTTTTGTCTCATAACCACAATTTGACATTTCTTTGCGATTGTCTTTTTAAATAAAACACACAAATAATACCTCATAAATGAAGTCTTGTCGAGAGTGGTCCAGGGAGAGGATCAGTAGGTGGAAAGAGAACAACACCAGGAAGTGTTCACTGGTTTCCTGTGGGGTTAAAACAAGGTAAGTGACACAGATTGAACACCAAATAAGCAAACGTAATGCAGCACTCACTCCTGATTAAAGATCTATAGGCTTGTGAATAGTGTTCATAGTGTTCAAATCTCAAACAGAGGCTCCATAAACTATGTGTTTATAAAACTGATCTGTTTTAATATTTTGCAATAGAAGATGTTGTTTTCCAGACGGAAGTTTGTCTTTTAATCAGTCTGGGGTACTTTATGGAATAAAAACTGTTGGCAAACTGTACAAATTATTCTTGTGTGAATTTTAGAATAAGCCCCTTTAGGATGGTGCACTGAAGGAGCCACACCTCATGACTCCCAGCTGACTCCCATGTGTGTGTGGGTGTTACCTGTGTGTAGCTGTTGCAGAGAGACACCAGGGAGGAGTGGATGATCTCTCCATACATGTGGGGAGGCTGGCCCTCCCAGTCCCTGATTGGCTGCTTGGAGTAAATCCTGTGGTGCAACTCGTCTCTGCTCCTGCCCCACAGCACCACCTACAGACACACAGAAGACAGAGACACAGACACAGACAGAAGCTGTATCAGCCCATATCTATTGATAATAGGGTGAATATTTTGCAGCTTTTCCCGTGGGTGTCCACTAACCCCAAGTTGTAATAAACCTTGTACCTTTTTTACACATGTGCCCTGTAATATGACGGCCCCCATCAGTATTTATATGTGGCCAAATGTTTCACCGACTGATGAGTCAGGCATTATGCAGCACATTGGTGTTTGTTTCAGTGTTGCAAGCTTCTAGTCATTGTTGTTTGAGGAGAATGTTGCACAGTAGTTGATGTCTAAAATGAAAACTATGTCTGCACTTCTAGGAACCGATGTTCAAAGACTGTGTGTTGTGTTATTCTGTAGGAGTTTGAATGCTTTATATTTCTCTTTTAAGTGGAAAGAAGTGTGAAAACTCCAGTTTGTGTTGCAGTGTTTCCTCCCTCTTTTATTTCCTGTAAAGTCTGAATCACACCAAACAGGGAATGCACAATCTCCCACTTTTGTCATGGAAATTCCTACAGTGTGTTTACAGTTCGTCTGGCCTCAACACAAATAACAGCACAGAGTGGAAACTTGAAATTCATGTGAGGCGTATCTCCTCATGCTCTGCACTAAAAAGTGTTAAGTGTTTGTGTGTCTTACTGAGAAAATAAGTTTCCGCTTCACACTGCCCTGCTCAACAGAGACACACACATCACACATCACACATCACACACACATACTGACCTCTTGTTCCAGGTGTCGTATTGAAGGGTAGCGGGCCAGTGGTGGTGGTGGTGGTGGCTGCTGCTCATCTCTGCTATTCCTGACTGACAGCTGAAGCCTGGTTTCCCCAAGACTCCACACTCTGTATATTACACATTAACACATCTCATCAGACATAATTGTCACGTAACAGAGGTCAATGCTCAGGGCACAGTGGCTAAACCTCACAGTGGCATGTGGGTTATCTCTGTTTTGTTCTGTCTTGCAGCCCAAAAACATGACAGACAAGCAGACTGAAGAGTCTAAACGGTCCAAAACTATGATTGTGAACTCCTGCTTGCACTGGATACAGCTCTGGTGGGCCTAAAAGAAAATAAATAGAGATTGAAGAGCAATAGGACATGTCACATTTTAAATAACTTGTCTTGACCCCCCTGCAGCCCAGCAGCAGCCAGACATAATCAGATTATAGTCATCAGAGCAGAGACAGACCAACCTGCTAACCCTTTATTGCCATATTTTGCAGCTTTTGTTCAGGTTTTTTATTGTGCACTGTGAATGTGGCTGTACACAGAAAAAGTAACAAAATATGGTCAAAACAGTCATGCATACAAAAATGGTTGATTTTGATATAAATTATTGTCCCACAATGCAATGCACAAAAGAGCCAGAGGAGCTACTAGCTCATCTTAAAATTACAATTTTTTTTGATAAAATTAAACTGCCTACAATGACTAATAGAATGTCTAAATATGCAGTGACATTGTGACACCTCTCAGGGTTAAAGCAACTATCAGGGGGTGTTTATGGAGAACTGTTGTGTAAATGCTGCTTTGGACAGATGTCATTCTCTGTTTGGGAGATCAATATGTAGAACTTCTTTTTTCTCATTTTAAACTCAAGTTGAAACAGCTTTTAAAGAGCTCTCAGTCATGTAGCTGTGAATAATCTATTTCTGTCATTGAGTTTTATGGTCATTTTAGTGTAAGTATTTTCTTGTAGAGTTTTGTGTATTCTCTGTAAAAGCCCATCTAGGAACTTAGACTTGGGCTATAAATGCTGTGTTATGTGACACGGGTCCATCCTAAATACTTGCCCCAATAAAAATAAACATAAAAATCTAACAAAAACAAACATGTGAATGGCTCAAGGAGCATTTAATCTTTGGAAATACAGTTTGCTTTCCCTTTGTTAAGTTAAATTTGCAGTTTCATTCCATATTCAGTTTTACCAAAATGGATCAGTGCACATATTGCATCATTTCCTGTAAGCACAAGCACATATATTTCTTGTTTACCAGACAAAATCGGCACACCATGACAATGAGTAAACAGTACTTTATACCTCACTATGTGTAGAATTTGCATCTCGGCATATACCAAACACATCTGATGGAGTGTCTGTCTATATGTGAGTGCGTGTCTTTCTAACAGTTAAACATGAGTGGCCTGCATCCATGAGTAGTAATTATTAAACAATCACGCATAAGGACTGGTAGCTACTGTTGTGATTAGCCTCTGCTAATCCCCCAGCCTTAGAACAAGCGGGGATTTGTCCCGCCCTGGCTCTGTCATTAAACCCCTCCATGCTTCAGCCATTGTCTTACAGTAATCTGCTAATCACATCAGTGCAGCATCACCGAGTTCCCAAGTTCATGTTGAGTAAATAGGAGCCAATTAGTCCTCCTGCCTTGTTGTTCTGCAGGGTGGAAACCATATTGTTGTTTTGCAGGTGTTTTCATTATGGTTAAAGGGTTTATGATTGAACCTTTTCTTCACTGCATTACCAGTACATTCTGTTAGTCATTCAGCATGTGCATCCCAGAAAAGGCATCATTAGCAGCTTTGATAAAGGTTATGCCTAAGGCTACGTGTTTTACATTCTCAGCTCCAGGACATGATACATGACATGTCAAAGAAAACCACAGAAGTTGAAAGAGAAGCTGCTAAAGCTCTTTTCACTTCACAGAATATCACCGCTTCCTCCTCCAGAACTCGCCGATAAGCTACGCAAACCACATTTAAAACAAACCTAGGGCACTAAAGCTGCAAAGATAAGCACATTAAATATTACTTTATTCACATTTTAGCTGAGATAATGGTAGTTCTTATTTCCTCTGTGGTCCTTTGTTCCAGGAGTCAAGTACAGTCATAATTGTGTGGATTCGTCACCAGGACTTTTCTATTTTTAAAGTAAAAAAAAAACTTAAACTCTTAAACTTTAAACTGTCAAATTGCATTCGTGTCTTACCCTAAATTGTCTCCAGAGAGTTCCAGGAGCTCAATCTCATCAGGGCCCACCTCGTCCACTCCAGTATGCCTCTGGGTCACACTGCAGCATCCCATGATGGATGAGGAGTCTGTCCCTCTCTTGCCTTGTCTCAGCTTCTAGTCCACACACTGAGCACCATCTGCCCAGACAATCATCTCCACTGCGTGTGTGTGCCACGCTAAAACCAAAGAGATAACATAAAAAACGGGGGCTGGTTGGGTCCAAAAGAGGATATTGTTTGCTGAAGAGAGGGAGGGAGGGGGTTGCTGCTAAGCTCTAGTTCCCCCTTTTTGCCAGCATGAAGTGTAAATTTCCATAGAACCTCGAGAACGAAAGGTGTTACAGCTTTTGAAGAGGAATTGAAGATAAAAGTGGCAAGAAGCTGTCGTCAAGTCACAGCGTAGTAGTTGCTCCTTCCTTCCTGTCAGTTGGCTGGCTGCACAGAACTGAGCAGCTTCCTCAGTTTTTTTTTTTTACACCCTAAACTCACACTGGGAACCTGCTGTATGCTTCAAATAAAAACCGGTTCTACTGTCATTCAAAAGTTTACCATTTGTTAGATTTAAAAAAAAGCATCTCCTACATGTTTCAGACTAGTCAGGCTCTCCGATTCTCTCGACCTCCTTGTTGAAAAGCATGTGGATGAAGCAAGCACCTTGTTGGGAAATATGGGACCGTGCCCATCTGTGTTTGCATGCACCAAGCCTGAATATGGATGGGCAAGTGAGATAATTATAAGTTGTGAAACGGAGGGGTAAAGGGCTGCAGTCAAAACAACAGGCCACAACAAATGTAGAGTGGAGCCTTGTGTTGATCTCCCTGGTTAGGTGGGAGGGTTTGTACACAATCATGTCTGAGTGTTTCTGGCTCTCCACAGGGCAGGAGGCTGTTCTCTTGTTTCCGTGAAGTCATGCAACTTTATGTGAGATGACTGATGACTGTTGTTGATCCGTGCTTTGATTACAGTAAACGAGCCTACCGTTATTGGATGGAAAACCTTTTTTTTTTTTATTCCTTACAAACCAACCAGTAAAATGAACCCAGTTATAATTCAAGTGCAGACAGATTCTTTATTGTCACATTTAACATTTATTAGCATTTCTCTAAGAGTAAAACAGCACCAGATGTCCAAAGTGTGGATCTGTCTTTATACAAAGCTCTTTAGATCCCAGCTGTTTGCATGTAATGCGTCACAGTTCCTCTTTCGTCTCATAAACTAAGCTCTTTGTGTCCTCTCGGAGCTCTTCTTCACCGGGTTCTTCTCCTCTTCCACCTTTGTTCACACACACAGGAGGTCCAGCGTAAGGAGGGGCCACTGTCCACGTCTCCAGAGAGCCACAGACGGAGATGCCTTTGCTCGGTGCCGGTGAGGACAGTGACATGATGATCCTCGTCTTCTGTCGAGTCCTAAAGTGTGTCACGTCATCTGCGGCATTCAAATGATGATGTAAAGTACATTTGCTGAGCTTGAGTTCGACCCGCGGCCTGGGGTTCTTAGTCTTAACGGCCTGTGTTGACTGACAGCTTTGATGGAGAGGTGAAGAGGCGGTTGAGGTGGTGGGACACTCACCACACTTTAAACCACCCCTTCCCTCACCGCTCGCTGAGACGTTTACAGCATTATATGGCGATGCTGAGGGTACAATTTTGTCCTCTGTCCCTGATCTTTTGGGTTCAGTCTTTTGGGTCTTTTTGGTGCTTTTCTGGTGGAATTCACTGCTTGTGTTGCTCTTGCTGCAGGCTAGCACTGAATCAGGAGGGAATACTCCACCGTACAGCAGCACAAACTCCTTCTGACTGACCAAAGGAAGCATCCTCTGCCCGAGACGACACTTGTTGAAGATCTCCAGAGTTAAATCTAGAAGAGCATGAAAGAGCGACAGCAGATGAAAACATGTTGGGTGGTGTCAAACATCAGCCTGTTGAGCAAACCATCATGTAGCATAAATAATGAAGGGACCTATTACTGTGCCATTTTTGTTTAAGCGTGGTGGCGAATTTGCTTTATAAACATCTACTGAACATAATAATGTAGGCTCACCCAGTGTCTCCACAACAGTGCTGGGTATCACCTCCTTCAGCACTTCACAGTTGGTATGGAGAGCTGGATTACAGTTCATCTCCAACAACCACACCTATTAGGAGCACACAAAGACACGATTGGTCCAATAATATGCACATTAATGCACATGTTGAATGCTGACCACCGCTCCTATGTTCAGCAACGCCTCTCCCACCTTGAAGTCGTCGTCGACCATGAAGTCGCAGCCAATCAAGTCAAAGAAGCCCAGTCGGCGGTCTAACTTGGATTTGACTGCAAAGAAACACTGCGTCATGATCTGCTGCATGCGCTTCTGATGCATGGAAAGGAAAAATAACAGTCAGCGAATCCATCCTACACATACAATACAGCAGCCATTTTGGAGGTCTGCAGCTCTTAGCAACAATGTCTGAGAATGCGTGTTTGGACGGCTTTAATTTATGCACATTTTAATTTAATTTATGCACATTTTGTAACACATTCTTACATATTGTGATGGCTATTACAAAATGTGTGAGTTGCACTTTTTTTTTATGAACTGCCTTTTGAATAAGCTGAAGTTTTTGATGGTCTTTTTGGAGAGCCCTGTCAAAACACCACTGCAGTGATCCACCCTACCAGAAATAAAAGCGTTATGGGTTTTTCTAGGTCAGCATTTCCTCAGTTGCTGGCTGCATTTGTAAGATGATAACAAGCTGATCTTGCATTTATGTGACTATTTAAAACAGAGTCAACTATAACGCCAAAGGGGGCACCACAGGTCATGAAGTCTAATTTAATATTTGGAAAGTTTAATTTAGGTTAATTGTTAAAAAATATTAGACATCCATTTTGGTTGGTTATTACATAATGTACCATATTATTATGTTTTTATCATAAAAAAAGTGCAAATCATGAACTTTGTAATAACCACCACAATGTAATAATTTATTAGAAAATGCAGGGAAATGTGTTGAATATTGCATCAGCTGTTCATTACAAAATGTGGCAGATTATTACAAAATGCAGATACTTTAAGCTACCTTTAAGCTCCAAACCACTACATCCTACATATCCCACAATGCAACATGATAGCCTCTTGACAGCAGTATGTAATACAGGTTGTCTGTTAAAAATGAGTCATCTCCAAACCAAAATACCCAGGTGATGTCACCTGAAAAATATTTTCAGATTTGACAACTCCAGTGTCGCAGAATACATGACACTGTTTTCACAGGCTGTGTAGCAAATTGACTGTTAAAAAAAGAAAGTTTTCCATTTCTACATAGAGTGGCCATAACAGAATAAATTCTTTCTCGAGCTGAACTTTTATTTGTTTGTATATACTCACTATCGTGTCACTATCAGGGTTAGAGGTTTCATTCTAACAGGTGCAACCAATAATAGAAATGTGGACATTGCACTGCTGATTGTACTCTAACGCACTACGGATAAAAGCAACCACCAAACAGCACATGTGATATTTCACTTCAGTAATAACATCATGTCCTCAGACAGGAGTGAGATCATCCAAGCCCAACCACAATCTCAATTAGCTGCAAGCTCCCAACAACCATCATTATAAAGGTAATTGGTCCCCAAGAGCTACAACACACAGCAGCACTCACTGCAAAGGCGCCCAGCACCCAGTCCCTGGGCAGACCCTTGGCAACCCGAAACCTGTCGTTGACGTAGGTGTTGAAGCTCTCCATGGACCACACAGTGTCCTCTTTTAGCTGGCTGTACAGAGGATTCTTCTTCTGCATGTACTAGAGACGCACAGCAGGGGGACCAGAGACACATGAAGCAGAGAGTCAGTTAGTGCCACAGCTAATGCCTCATCTATTCAACCTTCCTGGAAATGACCAATACAAGCAATGATATGATGCAAATATTTCTCCAGTATAATCATCCATGTTATTGTCCTTTTTAATTTGAGTTAAATGGGAGTTCACATGGTTGATATAAGAACTTAATTCAATTTCCTTGAGGGAGTCATCCCAAAGGGATCAATAAAGTGAAGTCTAAGTCTAAGTCTAAACAGGTTGAACAGTTAACAAATAAACCAGTCTGACCAAACAAGTCTAACCCAGAGTAAAATCTGTGATACTGTATCAAGTTTGTGAGCCTTTAAACTCCAAAAATTAACTCAACATCAGAGCAGTGATGTGATCTCTTCTGCAGTGACTCCATCAAAATATTGTACAGTCCAAAAAGAAAACAAAACAAAAATTGTTTTTAATTCAATGTAGACATTCTGGTTTTGACCCGAGAGCACTGTGCGGAAGAACTACATTAAACAAGCAGTGTGCGGGAATGGTTTAGTTTTTCAGTGCTGATAATTATTACCCAGCAACTGCATACAAATTAATAGTAATTTCCTTTTCATTTAATATAGCGTGGACCAGTTTGTCATTGTATATAGGTCATTGGAATGATTGTGGCAGGAAAGCCTCGTTTAGAACCACCACACACATGGGCAATTTCCTAATCTATTTTGATAGGATGTATCATAGAGATGTTTCTGTAACTGCCTGATTTCCAAGTAATGACTCAATCTAACGTCACAGCAGATTATCTAAAACCTGTGGGGGAATTCTTGGTTTAAAGGATAGGTTCCCAATTTCATGGAAAAACCTGATTCAACTTGAAAAACTGTGAATCTATCCTTTGAAGGGTCCTGTCAGTTATTCCTGGGTATTGCTGTACAGTATAAAGATGTACCTGATTGGTCAGGTGGGCAGAGAGGTTGTTGGAGCTGGGGTCGTAGAGGTCACAGGTCAGTCGCACATATCCATGGCGAAAGAAGACCATGTAAGGTGCAGTGCAGGCGATCAGAAGGTAAGAGCGCACATCAAACTTTTTCCCCTTCAGGAGCAGAGGACTCTGGATGTAACTGAGAGCAAAATGCAGCTACATCAGCGTTTATATGGTATAATAAGTATAATTTGTGATCTGTGGACAAGAAGATGTTGACAAGTACAGACAGTTGCACTCACAAAACTGTCTAAATAGTCTGCAAGAATCTGTATACACAGATTTATTGAAAGCAGTCTCAGATCAAATTAAATCTTCTCTGCTGTACTCTTATTATCCAATGTTGAGGTGAAGGGTAAACATGATGAATGTGACATTGTGTTCATTTTAACAACCCAATAGTTAAGTTTGTTCACCCACTGTTGGACAATTCGAGCCTGAGGCTGGCGCTGGTGCATCTTCCTGCTGGCCCGGCTGTCCTCTATGTGCTGCAGCTTCAGTTCGAGGGCGGCTACATCCTCTTGACTCTTCATCAGAAAGATCCCTCTGCCTTGGTTCAGACCGGTGGGCTTACAGATCCACATGTGACTCTCGTTGTTGCTCACACCTGGACAGTTGTAAAGTCAATAAATCGACAAACATATGACATATACAGGTATGAAATATAAAGTCCTACTGTCAGTTCTATACTGCTCTGTCTTTTTCTGGTGTGTCCTGTTCTACATTGTTTCTAAATTGTGTTTAGTCCTACAAGTAGATAGATAGATTCTTTATTGTCCTTTTCAGGAAATTTTTTGTCAGTACTTCTATCTGTTTTTCAGTTGCATTAATCAAACACAGCACTCTGTATCACTAAGAAATCGCTCCATATTTGCTTTTTAGTACACAACTTTTTTGCAGTGTTCAAATTTAAAAATTATTATTATGCAGTAGTGGAAAGTAAATTTTGTAAGTACTGCAGGCAATTCTATGCAAATTGTGCTTTTTGACTTTCTGCTATTTTATACTCTATTTTGGAGATTGCATTGCTATCAATCAACAGTATATAAAGTAGTTAAAATTAGCTTCACCTTGACCAGCTGCAGCATTAAAATACTGCGTATATGTTAATAATGTTAATAATAGTCCTACAATATAATGTAACACTGTGAAAGGGGCTATTCTACTGTCCAATGAGGACATAGCTAATACTTATGAGTGCAGGAGTTTTATTTTTAATGAAATATTCTTGCTTTGAGTGAGTTATTATGTGTGAGTGTTTACTTTGTGTAGAACACTGAATAAGTGTTTTCCACAGATTCATCTGTCACCCAGAGATGTAAACGAGCTGTCTGTGTCTTTCTCCTGTTTGCTTAGTGATAACCATGTTTGTCATAACCTGTGCATCGCTTATCATGATGCTGTGTGTCTGTATCTCTACAAATAATACAGAAACCATTTAATCTTTAGCCCTTAAAATAAAGGGAAACTCTTTTTTAGTTCTAATATGAAATGTATTCAGTCCTGTGTCGTGCTGCAGCAGCTCTACATCCATCCCTGTTGAGCATTTCTTCTCCTGTTTGTGTCTCAGCCCTGCCCTCTGCTGACTCATCTCTATGGCAACAGCATGTTCCCCTGGTGATTTTATCAGGGCCTTATGGGAGGTGAAGTGCATTATTTTCCAACGTCCTCAACCTCTTGATTAAACAATCACCAAGGTAACTGTTGTCTGCTGAGGACAAACTATTGAGTTTCTTTTCATTGTTGGATGCACGACAAGTCAAGTTTGATTTATCTCACTTTAAACTGGAGCTCATTAACCAAACACAAATCCAGTTGAACCAGTGTTGTGTTGTCATTGCATCAGACTACTTATGTGTTAGAGGTTAAAGAAGGTGAGATGTCTGGTGCATTTTACCCTCCTGCTGGGCAAAGAAAGCCTCTCTCTCTTCCCTCACATCCATGCGGAAGGTGGTGGGAATGAACTCTTCCATTTTCAGCCTCCTGTGAGGTACAACAGAACAAGACAGAAGCCCAAATGAATGTCTGGGTGTCCTCAGCAGGGCAGGGTTAGAAAAAAGTGCCAGATGTTGAAACTGCCTGAGAAAGTTCTTTTAATTTAATTTTAAAAAATTAAAAAGAGGTGCTTTGTGTTTTTAGTTGCATTGTCAATGAGTGGTAAGACATCTGTACAGTGATTGCAGATTCATTTCTAAATCATAATGTTCACTGTGATGCAGTGACTCAAGCAAGTTTTATATCTCTGAAAATTAATTTCCCAAAATATTGTTGGCTGCCGGGAATGTAGGAAAAAACCCATTCAGCAGTATTAGTAAGCATGGTCCATTGTATATACACTGCATATCTTCCAAGTAAAGAACACAAAAATACTTTTCAGCTTTAGTTTAAAGGACCAGTGTGTAGGATTTAGTGGAATCTAGTGATGAAGTTTCAGACTGAAACCAAATTAAATATTTATAATTAACCAGTGAAATAGCTTAAATAATTGACACACATAATGCTCAATGCCAAGCTTGTGTGATTCAGACGGGAGGCCTGATTTCTGATGATGCAATTTGGCGTTCATTAAATAGTATCACAGGCTGATACAGTATGCCTTTCAGTCAGTATTTGCAGAGCTGGGACTCTATTAAACCTACATGATGGTACCAGATGGTTGCTAGGAGATCTGGGACACAACTATAAATTGTGTAAACAAAACAGACGGCTATATCTGTCTGCGTTTAATACACACAGCCTATGTAGATACGAAATGGATAGCAGACAAATACAGCAGGAACACAGCTGTCTATTTCACCTCAGTCCTCGACCGTGGTGGACTTTGCTGCTGACCCGCTCGTACTCCCGCAGGCTGCTGAGGAGACCGATCTTAGTGGTGAGGACCTTGTTGTTGGGAATCTGGTACACCAGCTGTTCACCTGGGAACAACACATGAGGATTTAAACTTTTCTGTCTGTGAAAGAAAGGCAAAACAAATCTCTTTTCTACTGGAAGCTAAATGAGAAAAGAAATGTATCGTTGGTTATATTTTTGAGAAACAGATGTCTAAAGTTAGCAGTGATGGTGATGGGAGCGATTGGTGAACCTTCTTTGAAGTTACAGTAGTTGACTGGCGATTTGGTCTCACACCACTTGAGTTTGAAATCCTCCCTGTGCTTGTTGTAAATCCTCTTCCATCCTCTGCTCTCACAGTAACTGCTCACTCTAAAGGAAAAGTCCCAGAGGAAATCAATTACACCTCCGCTTTGCAGACGACAGTCCAGAGGTTAGGGGTCACATGTAAAACTAGACTTTGACTGATAAGTGGCCCCAGAAAAATATACAGCAGGTGAATGATGTTTTCGGCTTTTTATTTTGAAATAGGATAACCTCACTCAAGATGTGATAACATTTTGAAATGCCTAACACCTTATTGATAACCGCCATTTTTCCTTACTTACATTTCAGCCCCATTGGCTCCTCCAAAGAAGTAGAAAGGCCCAGGGCCCCGGGGCTCTTCTGCCTGCCGCTCCCTGTCCCTGGCTGGGTTGGAGCAAGTCGACAAGCCCCTGGGGAAGGACCTCTGGAGGTAGCGTTCCACCAGGCAAGCACCTGATACTTTTACACACACAAACACATCATCACAAACAAATCATGTATGCACACGGTCACTCACTTTCACAAACCTTGTTCTATTACTATGTACATGAACTTATATGGATGCACAGTTGAAAATCAGTGGATTACAAGACTATAAAAGAATTATTCTGAAAGGGAATCGAGATGTGCTGTATTTTATTTTGTTATGCTGCAATAAAGGATCAACAAATGACATCACACTTCATGTCTCACTTTTCCCTCCACACACCTGACCCTCTATCCCTGCTTTCCTGGTTGAAAGTGATGTGGGAAAACCTCTCTCTCTTTTCCTGAGTCTGCGTTTCCTCCCTCTGGACCTGCTCCAGTCCACCTTCTGATGTCACTTCCTGCATGCCACTATGGTCAGGTGACGAAGGCTGTTCTCCTCCAGGCTCCTCCTCGTGCCTCAGGCTTCCCGTGGGCTGGTTATCCCCACAGGGAACCTCCACTAGTTCCTCCGTCTCTGCTCCTTCCCCTCGTTGTTTCTGCAGTCTGGTCTCCTCCGCCTGGCCCTCACTGCTGGGCTCCACCCAGCATGCAGAGGACATGATGGTGCAGATTGTTGCTGATGGCTAGCCTGTAGTCGGAAATTATAGTGGAGTAGGAGAGCAAAAGAAGAAGAGATTCTGGTATTCAGAGGATGATTCCTAATCATTTTGGTGACCCCTGACCTTTTGTTTAACACCACCACAAACACCCAACGCTGTGTGTTTACGCTTGCATTGCCGTCATATTGTTAATTACCTTGAGACAGTCAGCTGCTCATGCATTGCTGGGTTAGGGAAGTCATGTAGCCATGCAGAAGCTATAGAGAAGTGGAAGGTATTCATAAACCCAAGAATACCTCCTTTCTATTGTTTTAACATCTAAAATTTTAAATATACATGATATATGCTTATGTTCATGCTATAAGGCCCCCATTCAGCCTGTCTTTGTCCTCAAGAACAGTAGAAAATGCCTCACCATCAGCAGAACAAGACAGACAAGACAGCAGTTCAAGACATCCTAGCAGGCATACTAACCGTATTTTGTGATACACCAGCACCCTCAACTAGAGTTGGTAACAAGACAGCAAAGTGTGTCTGGTTTGTGGCACAATTGTAGGAAAATCCGACTTCCAGCAAGCGCTGCAAAATGCTCCCAGACATGCAACCACAAGAAGTGACACATTTCTATGAGTACATATTCCCCTCCTTCTGTGGGCAACACACTGTGGTAAAGAAATAGCTTGGCAACTGAAAGAACAGGGCATGAACACTTCAATCAATCACAAGGGCACTGTTGCAAGTGTTCAAGAACCACCCAGTAAGTCCTGATGGGGTCACTGACTCATGTGCTTCTAGAAATCAAATGTGCTGCCCCAGCCCCTCACTCACCCACTCATTCACTGACCTTACTCAGAAAGGAGGTGACATCAAACTAGTAGATGTAGAAAACTGGCAGCAAGGGATATTATATGAAAGTACAACTTACACTTTTTTGCACAGATCTCCGGTCTGCCACACTTTTTATGTATGTTGTGTTACCTCGGCTTGTAGAGGAATATGTTGGAGGACGGTTTAAGCTAGATGAAAGATACACTGAGATAATGAGATAACATTAAGAGAATCAGAATTACATCTGATAGCTTTGGGCTGCGTACACCAACTTCCTGTCAATGTTAAGCAAAAACAAGCTGTCACAGTCATTAACTTTCTGTTCTAAGAACAAATAAATATGAAACATCAAGGCTAAGGAGTGTATAAATGTTGAAAGTGGTTAAAAAAGTTTTTTTTTTCTCCATATTCCAAGTTTATGTTCTAAACAAAGTAGTTTGAATTTAAACAAATACAATGCAACATGAAAGATGACTAGGATTTAATTTTCTTTAAAAACTTATTCTTTATTTGGTTATTTTCATATCTCCTTTTCCATCCAAAATAATTCAACATAGGCTGACCATTTACTTTAGGAAGTTACAGTATGTATACGGTCTTACTTAAACATGAAAATGTGTATAAAAACAAATCAAAACAAATTGAAATAAAAAAAAACACTGAAAATAACGAAAGTAAATAACACAAATAAATCAAAATAAAACTAAACGAGACTTATATGCAAGATCACCTTACACAGTCGTACACATCCACCTCAGTGCACATCGGAAAATGTCCATATTATATATTAAAAAATAATAATAAAATGTCCTGTTTATTTGGTCTAACTTTTAAAAAAGTCATACAGACTACTTCCACCTGCAGTCCAGTTCCTGCATTAATAATAATCACATTCTGTACAACAGAACTGTTAAGCTGTTCAAACTAAAATCCAAAACTTACGTAAAATGTTAGTCATGAAAAATGTATACTTACATCGAGTTAGTTTAAATCATGAATGAGATCCGGCCTTAAGTTGACAAGAGCAGCACATATTCTTAGAATCTTGTCTATTTTAGGAGCCATGGTGCTCGAAACAACCTCTGACAGTATTTTGTAAACTTTCAAACGGCTGATTGCCCTTCCAACATGAACTCTCACTTCCTCAGGTAGCTGACCCCGCTTTTTTGTACAAGAGGCCATTACCAATTTAACCCCTCTGTCCAACAGCAATTTTTTTATGTTAAAGCCTTGATCGGCCATGACCTCATCTCCGGGCTTTAAGTGGTCTAATATTCCTGAGTCTATGCTTATGAATTTGTCACTGCATCGCCCCCCATACGCTGGAGAAATGAACATGATTAGTCCACATGGGGCTATGGCTACCAGGTATTTCACTTTGTGGTCTGATTCCTTACTTGAATTAACAACTTTGGGTTTTTGGAAAAGGATCTCACTGCAGTCTAAAATACATGTTGTATTGGGAAAGTTCTTCTTGAATGCTTCAGGCGAGGTTGCCTGAATGGTTTCTTTTGGAAGCCATGGAATTAAAGGTAGCAAAACTTCCTCCAGTCTGTCAATCCAATATGAGAATATCTTGCTGGCCATGCTCTGTGATATATGAAACTGTCGGCTCAGATCACCTATCAAACGGTCGGACTTTAGTGTCATAAGTGTCATGAGAACTTGATCTTGCACAGACATTGGAAATGCATTGCTAGCATATACTTCCAGTGTTGACACAAGGATGTGAAATGTTTTTAGGGATAAACCAGTGTAGAGAAAAGCATCAAAGTCGTTCTTAAGCATCGAGGACCCAATGTCATCGCCATCCGTCTTGCAATAATTGTGGTCGTGTTGTGCTGGGTCCTCGCGCTGTGCATGAACTGAGTGCTGCTGTGGGTCAGGGGGAGGTGCAGAATCAGCGTGATCTGAGACAGCTGATGTGAAGTCCACCATGAAAAACACACATAAGCATGGCCAGAGTTAAACACAAGTCGGTACAACAGACACTGTATGATAACTTTCATGTATGTAAATGAGGATTGACAAAACTGTGTCTATAAAACAGTTAATGTATAATAAACCGATATATGTTACCACTACAAATACACACTGAAGTCTACGCACCCTTTAATCATGGGTTTTAAATTTGAGACTTTCATTTAAATAACCTAGCATTGTTCAATATTAGAGCTGCAATAATTAGTTAATTACTTGTCAACTATTAAATTATCATTTGTGAGTCATTTTTTAAGAAAAAAGTAAAGATTCTCTGTAATCAGCTTCTAAAATGTGAACATTTTCTGGTCTCTTTAGTTCTATGACACAGTACACTGAATATCTTAGGGTTATGGACAAAACAAGACATTTGATGACGTCATTTTAGGCTTTGGGAACCAATGATCAACATTTTCCACCATTTTATTGTCCAAACAACTAATTTATAATGAGAAAACAATTGACACATTAATCTAATGAAAATAACAGTAATAATACTGTAACAGAAAAGTTACAGTATAACAGTTAGTTGCAGCCCTATACAGTATAACATGTAATGTACAAGCTCTTTTAAATATCCAATCTGTACTGTACTGTACTGTACTGATCAATTCAACAGTAACTAATGTAAAGACAATGGCGAACTTTATTAACAAATACAAAGCACACACACTCTACGTGCTGGAAGAGGTAGCCAGTAAATGATTGTGTGTGTGTGTGAATGAACTCACAGTTGGACACCCGGGCTCCGTCTGAGGAGGCAGCAGGTCGTGTTCGGACTGGGTTCCGCCTCCTCTTCGGACGAGGCGGTCGGTCGTAGCCCAGATAAAGCTCCGGGTCGGGGTGCAGTAGGGAGGGTCTCTTATTGACAAAATGATAAGAGCAAACATACACTCTCTTTGGAAGACGTCGTAGTTTCAACGCCGCCAGCCACGCTTTCCTCCTGTCCGCACTGACGGGCATGCAGTGCAGGGCGTAGGGCGCGGGGCACGGACATCTCTGCCGGATTTGTTGGTGTTGTAAACAAAATGTTTGTGAGAAAGTCTTCAGTTTCTTGGTGTTGTTGTAGCAACCATCCGCAGCACACGTTGAACCCGAGCTCATCTTTAAAACGAGATAACCGCTACGAGCTAGATAATTGATATAAAGTTGAGTTTTCACTTGTGTTTCTTCATCAGAGTTTCTTCATCAGAGTTTCTTTCCGCTAGTTGATGAATTCAGTCACCCGGAAGCAGACAACCGGCCGGCGGAAGTATTTGATTTGCGTTGGCTTCTGAAGAAACTTTATTATATTCATCTATATTTATCAAAGTTCACTTCTTGGCAAATTCCACATTCACTCATGTACATTTACAAACACAAAACAAAAGCTTAAATTCAACTAAATTTAATTCAGTTTTATTTGTTTATAGCGCCAAGTTATGCCAGGACACTTTTCTAACTCCTTTCAAACTCCTTATAACATTATTTACATAATGTATGTATGTATGTATAATGTATAATAAAAGTTCCAAAAAATATTTGTATTTATTAAAGAAATGGAACAATATGTGAATGAAACAGAAAAGCTATCAAAAGGATAAATGTGTGCAATGTTTTTAATATTTTGTTATGTTAGCTTTATTTAACTTGTGTTATTTTTTGTTTTGTTTTCTCAGTGCTTCATTTGTCTGTGCATGCCTCTAATGTTTTGCTTTTGATACAATGTATGTTGATGGTTTGAAATAAAGATAATAACAACAACAACAAAGAAATGTAAATAGTTTCCAGAGGTGATTCCTTTCCTCTAGCAACACCAACAGACTGAAATGTCAAAATCTCACAGGCAGATTTCTATGAAATCCTCATGCCCCTATTGTAACTGAATGCCCCTAATACCCCTCCTCTAGCACCACCATCAGAACAAACCTTACATGTTAAGGCTCACTGCAGAAACCTCTTAAGTTTAGTTTGGTTTAATGAACATTTCATCCTCTAGGGGTTGCTAGCACCTGCTAGCAGCTTTAGACTTTTAGCCTTGTCTGTATAGTTCAAATATAGCAAACCTGAGAAATAAAGTAAAAAAAATTTAATGATGGTGTTTTGTATTAAAAGACAGGAGCTGAACTATATATTTGTTGTAGCTACATTTTAGAGGAAAATGGGGTTTACCTGAAACTCCAGTGTCACACACATGTACAGCCAGACTCCATGGAAACCAACTCTTCTTCGGCCTTGAGCGCTCAACCTTGTAGTCCAACTGCAGGGCCCAGACAAACAGCAAACCCACAGACTGAAGGAGAGACTCCACAGAGGTGAAATGACATGGTCTGTCAGCAGTTTAGCCCTCTGTAACCAGCCATAGTCACGCTGCAGCCACTGGACCAAAGTAAACAATCACCGGTTACTCCGGTAATGGGACCCCTAGCAACAGTTGCCTCTTGTAGATTGAATCTTACAACAACAGCAGCTCAAGACAAACTAACTACTCAAGATTATGTATCCCACACACACCCCACCTCTAAGTTTAGCCTCATTCAATATTAATTTCCTGTAAGCCTCTGTTGTGTGAACCCTATGGTAACATAAGAGCAGGAGTGTCAATCAAAATGGATTTGCCAGTTTTCCGGGGTATTATATCCTGACACTAAAGGTCAAATTATATTTTCCACATGCTCTGTGACAAATTGTTATTTAAAAAAGTCATAAATCTGTCCAGGGTACATGTTTTAATGTAGATATAATGGTATCCACCATACATTTTATACTGGTATCTATGCAAACTACAGTTATTTGGAGGAAAATTGTAGCAAGGGATAAAATAATTATTAGGGCAAATTATCAACATGTTTTTGATGTTTCAAAACTTTTAGATACAAATAACTTGAGCTGTAAAATAACCAGAGCCCTTGATTAAACTTAAAGCCTCCAGACATCATTTTACTGTGAACATCAATTTATTTCAGTATTAATTCATCCACCTGAATTATTCACAGAAACATTATTTTTATGGCCGACATCATCATTAATCATGTCGTCTAGTGCCAAATCCAGTGGCAGTCACGCAGTTGAGCAACATAGCATTTGTCTGCTCGCATAGCAAATCCACTTATCACCTTTCTGTCTCAGTGATTTGACTCAGGAGGAAACACCCAGGCCCAGCCACAGTTGGCAATTATGCATAATCTCCTCTCTTCCTCCCAACAGTCTGATAATTGACAGGGGTGGGTGCCTCTTAGACGCAGCATCCATGCAACCGTATAATTACACATACAGTAGGGTAACCAGGAGTGACGCGTACACCTAACACCAATGTAGTTTAAGGGGGCATTCACACTGAGCAGTACTTAGAGCAGTCAAACTCCGTAGTGTTATTCTGCACAAGTCACTAATGAAATTGGGAACAGCCTCCAAAAATGCAAGGGATTATGGGTAAAAGAAGAGACTGATGATGACAGCTGTTGAAGCTGATTATTGAGTAAAATAAAATATATTTCTTAATTGGTATATTGACCACAGAAGCACATGATTCAAGTAAGATTTGGTTTGACTCCCCGATGACAGGTTTCTAAAATATGTCCAATAAACAAGCTGCTTGTGCATCTTTGGATCTGGTTTGCTTGGAACGGAATGGTGATATGTACTTTCAAGGACCAGTGTGTGACATTTAGGAGGATCTATTGGCAGATGGAATATAATATTCAAGGTAATGTTTTCATTAGTGTTCAGCTGAATATGGGAGTGTTTTTGTTACCTTAGAGAGAGCCATTTTTATCTAGACGCCGCTGGTCGCCTTTCATGGAGTCCGCCATGCTAAATGTTTCTACAGTAGCCCATACCAGACAACACAAACACAGACTTTAAATAGGGCCTTTTGCATTTCTCATGAGCTTCGCAGCAACAGTAGGTTTGTCCTTCATGCTTCATACATACACAGGTTGTCAAATACAGACGCCAGCAGTGTTCAGTTAGTTGCAATCTGCAATTTCACCACTAGATGCCACTAAATCATTTACACAGGTCCTTTAACAAACCCAATAAATAAAAAAGCTTACATTTCCTACATTGTTCATATGAAAGAAATGCAAAGTTTAGGTCTAATCACACTCTATATGATGTGTTGTTAGGGTTGGACTAAGGGTCAGTTCAGTCAATGCCTCTTTTAGGTGTCTGAGTGCAAAACTGCAGCGATAAAAGAGAGCTGCTTGGCAATGATGTGAGTCCAGCCACAGCACCCCAGTTATTAGAGGCCTACTATATTCCTGTTTAACAGAGCTTTGTGTGGAGCCAGTGTCAGCCACACCTTGATAAAGAGCCGCCATCTGATAGACACACTGTGCAAAGTGCTGCGTAGGTGGACAAAGAGAACAGGCTTGTTTTACAGCCCTGTCGACCTCATGGTTTGCCATCTGCCAAGAGGCTCTGTGTGTGTGTGTGTGTGTGTATTTATATATGAGAATAAGTTTGTGTATTTTGTGTGGCTATCTGTATGTTCCCTTTTTGTATTACATATTTCATAATTCAAATGTTAATTAATAACTTTTAATTTGATTTGATCTCCATCTGTCAGTGGAACGGTGAGTGAAAATGCAACACCCTTATCATTCTTTCATTTTCTTTTCAATTTATTTTATTTATGCAAATTAAGTTTGAGGTTCTGTAGGTGGTGCTCTTCTCATTGTCCGTTTATTCATGGAAAATCACACACATAGAATTGACTATATCACTATATCACATTTTGGGTGAAACAGAGTTTTCACAAACTCACAAAGTTATATGAAAATTTAATGCAGGAAAATGAATATATAATCATTAGATGAAAAGTATGTGTGTGTGTGTGTGTGTGTCTGTCTCGGGGCGGCGACACCATAAAGAGTTGTTGGAGACTCGCCCATTCCCATGTCATCCCAACTGCCTCCTGTACCAGGAAGTGCTCAGCAATTACAGGGATGCAGCCTGCAGCAATGGTGTCCCTACACAACCCATTATTTGGAGAGATTCTCCTTGTCAAGGTGTTATAGTGGAAGGAATGGAGTTAAGTTACGATGTAAAGAAAAGCTTGTCTCAATAGGGTCTCTCTCTCTCCCGCTATTCATGATTTCCTTACAGAATTACACCGGTAAAGCAGAGGGGGCTGTTGTAGTGCAGGGGCGACATTTTGTTCCCAGGGTCTTCATTCACTCATTCCCACTGGTGACAAACGTAAGATGAGGACACAAAGACATTGAAGTTTACCAAAAATGACTTTTACTTGGGAAAATGTACATGCCACAAGCACATTTATGTCCTTAGATAAACTGTTGTTTTGAGACAGATATGGAAAAAAAAGAAATGTTTGAATACATTTATTTATGCTGTTATTGTTTTTCCTGTCTTTTAATGCTAACGTAACAAACCCGAAGGCTGAGTGTTGAGGTTTCTGTTTAACAATAGTGACATTTTCTGATCCACTTTAACCATTACTGCTTCCAAGAAGCTTAACAGACAAGTGGATTATGTGTTAAACATAATGGAAAAATAATCAATATGGCTCTTAAATAAAGACTGCATGCACTCAATGCAGCTTTTGTATTTAACACTATCATCATAAGGTGATGGATGGTGGAGAAAAGTTTTCTCAGTCCCACCCAGCTGAGCCTCTGTGGTCTCCCTAAATGCAGACAAACATGCATGGTACTTCTTTTCTCGACGTGAAGCGTACAGATGGCAACCTCCTGGATTAATGCCATTCACTATGTTGGTTACACCCTGTAGAGCTATGAAAAAACACAGGAGGAATACCAATAGATTGTGAAGTGGAAAATGACTCACCGATAACAGCAATAGCATGACAGAATAGAAAGAGTTGGTGGAAAAAGAGCTGAGAGATGCTCCAGGTTCACACCTTAAAATTCAACAGCTAAAGAGGAAGTGCTTGATGTAACGAGTGCTGGGGCCCTTCACCGGTCAGTGTCTCAAAAATCAGTCAAGTCAATCAGGTAAGATCCATCAACATATCAGTACATAGTTTGGAAGGAAATGGTCTAGATATTCAAACTGCTGGAGCTGTCCTGGGCCGGTGCTTATCAACTATTTAGGCCTTAGTTAAAGGGATATAACCACCAGTAATATTGTGCCCCAATTTAACAATAAATAAAAATAAAGATACTCCTCAAAGAGTCCCTTTAGCTATTATGGAAATTTACCAGCTGTTATTAAGAGAAGGCAGACCTGTTCAGAATGAGATCGGGAGCGTATTCTCAATTTACTGGCAAGCGTGCTAATGCCTCAAATGTACCTGGGTTTGCTTGTGTACATTAGCTAAGCCTCAGTTATTCAGTCTGCCAGTCATGTCTAATATCAGCACAAAGCTAACACACCAACTTTGCCAGAAGGCTAAAGTCAAAACT